AAGTCAAAACAAAACAAAAATAAACAGATGCTAAAATTATTTTTTAGAAAATTTAAAATCCATTTTCTCTCACTAGAAACCTAATCTCTCTTTTTCTCTCTAAAGACACATTCTCTTTCTAGAAACCCAATCTTTCCTTCTAGGTCTAAGAACTCATTCCGTCCCTAGAAACCTAATTTTTCTCTCTAAAAGCCCATTCTCTATCTAGAAACTCAATCTTTCTCTCTAAAAACTCAAGATCTCTTTCTCTCTAAAAACACATTCTCTCTCTAAAAATCCAAACTCTCTTTCTTTCTTTAGAAAGCCAATATCTCTTTCTCTATCTAAAAACTCATTCTAGTCTCTTTCTAGAAACTCAAATTCTCTTTCCCTCTCTAGAAATCCAATCATCTTTCTCTCTCTAAAAACCTATTTTGTCTCTCCCTAAACAACCAATCTCTCTTTCTCTATCTAAAACCCATATATCTCTATCTCTCTCTCTAAACTTCTCTATTCTCTATCTTGAAACCCAATAAAGCATACGTTTTTTTTTTTTCTTGCTTGCTTGCTACAAACAAGAAAAGTTTGAAGAGACATAAATAAGAGATTGTTTAGGAAGAGACTATTTATCTTTTGTACATAGTGGTTACAATCATTTTTGCCCCTTAAATTTCAAAAGGATTATGTTAAGGTACTCATACTATCGAGTAATTTATCATCGTACTCAACAACTTTTAGACATTTATATACCCTTGTTAATGAAATTTTTTTAAGGGTATTTTTTGTCATTAAGATGGTGTGATGTCATCTACATGGAATGTAACATTATCCACATGGGGCATTAAATGTCAATATTGTACTCCATGTAGGTAATGTCACACCCCATGTAGATAAATTCATATTCTTCCTAATAACCAAAAGTAGCATTACTAAAAGAGAGCTCCATGTACAAAGCAATGGTATATAGGTACCTAAAAATTGTTGAGTATAATGATAAATTACTTTATAGTGTGAGTACCCTAACATAACGCATTTCATAATGAGCAGTTGTAAGAGTGTCATTGAATACACAAAGTTCTAAAAAAAAAATTTTAGATTTCGTAACTCATCCCAAACCACCCAATTTAACATCTAATGAGTGTGAATTATTATGACCTCCAAATACAAAAGATAAATAGTCCCTTAGTAGACAATCTCATAAAAATATATAAAAAAAAAAATATTAAAAAAAAAAGTCTTTTAATGGACCTAGCCGGGCCCATTCCAAGCCCAAATGTTATTTTCAGGCCCGGCCTAGCTAGGCTTTGATAGTGTATTTTCAGGCCAAGCTGGCCCGGGCTTTAAACCACAATATCGGGGTCAGGCCTTGCAGGCTAGCCGAGCCATCCCCACGCTCAACCCATTGGCAGCTGTAACTAGGACCAATTGGCTTGAAAACACTTCTACACTCAATCACTAGAGAGAGCTCTTTCGCTGAAAATACTTCCACAAAAGTATATATACCCATATCAACTGTGCCACTAACTAGTATCATTTTACAATGTTTAATATTTTAACTTTCCATATTTAATTATGGGATTATCTACAAATATGTCATTAGTCTTTTTTCCATTGAAGTCACTATCATTCCTACTCATTGGATGTCGAGTGAGTCACGAAGTCTGAGAAAATTTTTTTGAAACTTTCTGTTTATTTATTTCCGGTCTTACAGCTACTCATTTTTAAATTTAACAGACAAGAATGATTGTAACATCTATGTACAAAAAATAAAAGGTGTGACATGTATAAGATTGTGACCTTGAGCAATCCAATTAAGGTACACCTCCAAATTGTATTTCTAAGTATTATCTAAAAAAATTTATTTTCATATCTAATTATAAAGTTTTAACTCTAAAAATATTTAAAATCAAGTAGATCTATAAATATGTGAAAATCTTGAAAATGGAAGGTTTAAATAATGTGTTGCAAGAGCACTATTTCTGGGACTCAATTTTTTTTTTTTTCACATTCATACATCTCGATGTCAAGATGACCATTTCAACATTAAAACAACCTTTTTCCGATAAGTTTCTGAGGTGCATCATCTATATTTTAAATTGCAACCTTCAATAAACTTTTTCCAAAATTACATTTGTAGAAAATCCCTTTAAATATTGAGTATTTTTATTTCATTTTAATTTGGTCACATGGCCGTAGATTCCATAACTCGGCACAACACGTCATGGATTTTCCAAACCGACCTTGCCTTGTGCTCTATTGAAGATGCAGCGTAAATAGCCTAAAAAGAATCACACACTAACGCACCCCAATTCCACATTATTTTGGCTGATCTGGACTATTTTATAATTGGGTGCCGTTTGTATAGATCGGAGGCTCTAAACAATCAAAGTAAAACACATCTTCAAATAGTATCAAGAAATTAGCTTCAATACTAGGAATCTTAGTGAAAGGCTTAAAGTATATTTTGATATTTAATTATAAAATTTAAAGCTTAAAAAATAGTGCAGATCGAGTAGATCTATGAAAACTTGAAAATCTTAAAAATAGATGGTCCAAAAATGCATTATAAGCTGCACTATTTTTAAAACTTGAAATCCATTTTTTTTCTCATGTCCATGCATCTTGATGTCGAGATGATCAATTTGAGGATATTTGGGGATCAAAACCTCATCTAGTGAAATATTTTAGATGGGTTTTACTTTGATTGTTTAGAACCTGGGCTCTATATAAACTTTTTCTTTTATAATTATAGTATTTATTTCGTAATTCTAAGGTGATTATCAATTGATTTTCCGTATGGTATAAGTCCTTCAATTTGCTCAGGTCAAATCTAGGTATCCAGGAACCCAATCTTTGTTCTTAATTATTTTTTGGGCAAACTTTTTGTGCTTCCTCTATAGCATAAAACTTATATATTTTCCCTTATCCAACCGTCCATATTGAATGGAGGGCTAAGATTGTCCCAATCGCAATGTCACGTCTCTACACTATTTTATTTTTATTTTTTTTCTATAAACTATTTTGACACCAAATGTTGGACGTCCAATCTTCCGTTAAACTCGCACTAGCGAAAAATATTAAAAAATATTTTCAAATAAATAAAATAACCAAAATACTTGTGAAATTTTCAAGGAGTATTTTGGTCATTATATTTTATGAAAAATTTATTTGTAATATTTTTTATAGGTGTGCCCCAATGAGAAGACGGCACGTACCAAATTTCATATTCATACAATTTGTATAAGAAAACTAAAAATAAAATACTTTGAGACGTCGAATCTAAGATTGAACGGTGAGTGGCTCTCTTGATCAAAATTAGACAGATGGATGATAAGCGAAGCATAAATCTTCTATGTTGTAAAGTTGCTCCACCAACCATGATCACTGTTCCAAGAGACCCGATTCCCCTTAAGTGCGGTTGTTCTCCCTATGGAGCACGTCTACAGTTTGCTCTAGTAATTAGTAGGCTGTGCGCATTCAAACAAAAAAAAATTAAGAAATTTTAAGAAAAATCTGTTTTACTTTTGAAATTTATAAGCTATATTTTACATTTTACACACTGTCCTACTTTTTGAAAATAAAGCGTAAAATACTTAAATTTCATCATTGTTATCCATACGTCATATTAAACTCTAATATGGTAATATCTATAACACACCTGTAAGAAATATCCAAAAAATAAAATCACCAAAACACTTTCCTAAATATTTTGGAGTTATTATTTTCATTTGTTATTTTTAGCAGATCCAAGATGTTAAAAAGTATACACTACCAAATTTGAGTTGAATCAAATGTATAGAAAAAATAAAATTAAAATAAATTTTGGACTTTCAAAACGTAAGGACTTGTGCCTAATATATGAAATACATGAAACTATTTAAATTTATAAAATAAAAAACCAAAATTTTCTATAAATTGACAAATTTCTTTGTCTTGTTCAGGCTTCACTCTTTTTCTCTTAATATTGAAAAAAAAAAGAGACAAAAGCTGGTGGAAGATGTAAGAGAGAAGGGGTTGCAAGAAACTCACATCCACCCTTTCGCACGATTAACTGACACACACATACTACATGTCTACTACTACTTTGTGGAGAAAAAGTTTTGAATTTTGTGGGTATGATTTTCAGGTCATGTTAGGGTGCGGTTTGTTTAGAGCCAACGCTCTAAACAATCAAAGTAAAGCACGCCTTCAAATAGTATCGAAAAACGTGGCTTTAATATTGAAAATTTTTGTTATTGTCTTAAAACATATTTTTATTTTTTAATTGTTAAATTTTGAAGCTTCAAAAATAGTGTAAATCAAGCAGATCTTCAAAAATTTGAAACTTGAGGTCCAAAAATGCATTACAAGATGCACTATTTCTAAAACTTGAATTCCATTTGTTTCTCATGTCCATACATCTTGATGTCGAGATAATTAATTTGAGGATATTTGAGCATCAAAACAACCTCTTCTAGTATAATTTTTGAGGTGGGCTCTAATTTGATTGTTTAGAGCCTAGGTTCTATATAACTTTTTTATTATTATTATGGATTAAGACATAGATCAAATTGGGGGCTTTTGCCGGATTGCTAACTGAAAAAAAGTTTTCCAATAGGGGTGGCAACAGGTCAGGCGTCCCAACCCACTCTAAAAAGCAAGGGCCTAGGCCAAATAATTTTTGTCAGCTGGGCTTGGGCCTAAGCCAGCCTAGTCTATAAATCTATATAGTTTTATTTGGCCATGCCCACCTATAGAGCTAGGGTTGGGTCTAGGCTAGGACCTCTTTGGCCCGGTCAAGGCCACTCTGGTCCCAAGCCGAGGCTGGGCCGGCTCCTTGGGGACTAGGGCTTGGGCTAGGGCCAGGACTGGCTCCGCAAATTGGCCGCCCGACTTTCCGGCACTCTATCCTCGTTTTTGTTTGTGTCAAATTTTTGGGAAATGCAAGCGAGACAGGCAACGGACCAGTTTTGGGGTTAAAGTCCACACCATTTTCACCGCCCCGAAATAATGAAGGGCAACTTTAATGATCGACATTGCATGACCCCTACGCTACGATTTCTCAAACCTGTTTTCACTAACGACTTGTTTTGTACATACATACTACATGTCTAATAATACTCATATAACTTAACAAACTTAAAAAAAAAAACCAAAAAAGTAGAATCAAAGAAAAAAAAAAACAAAAATAGGGTCTTCTCCAAAAAGCATTTCCCCTGAAGCACCAATTTTTCTCGATCGAGGTCATCAAAGTCTAGGAGTTGTTGCTCCATTTCTTATGTCCAGGCACCCACTTAGGGCACTTAGGACTAAAATATTTGCCGACAACCCTAGAGTCCAGCAACTCCACTATAGGCTTAAACTTCACACATCTTGGTGCTTTATATTGGTTTATTGATGCACCACGGCTAAGGGCATAGTCCATGAGTTTATCAAAGGTCCCTGACTCAACAACCCTAATTTCAAGAGGCCCGATCGATTTATCTGAGGCTCGACTTTGTCGATAAACACTATTTAGAGACTCTTCAATGGTTAAGCAACAGTCTTCAAACACAAAGGGCGGTACATGGGTTTGGCCATCACGTAGCTCCCAATATAGCACATAATGGCCAGGTATGGTAGTGGTGTCGGCATGGCTCGTGTACTCGACAAGTGATGCATCGAATGGCTCAAGGTGGATCGAGGCTCGAATCACCGCATTGTGGAGCTCGACCTCATCCGTCTTGTCGGACTCGATACTTAGGGCCACGTTCTTGCGACAAACGAAGTTGAATTGGGGCGCTTTGTTCTTGAACCCAGCAACTCTTAGCACATCGCCCACCCTGTAGCGGTACAATCCTGGAACAACAACCACCATGTAATTTTAACTTGCAACTAACGAAAGCAATGGTTGATGATTGGTTATTTACATGTTTTTAGGATTTAATTTGAAGTAATTTTAAGCGTTTCTTGAACCTCTCTCTCCCTAGTTAAGTAACTATGGTTTTTCTTTTTTACAAAAAAAAAAAAGAAAAAAAAGATTAAGGTGAGAAAAGGAGAGGAAAAAAATTGGGTTTTTGTTGCTCTTTGCCCTTGTTAGTGATAGGGGATATTGCCAGAGAAGTTTGATTTTCATTGTATTCACTTAGGCATTCTCCATTAAAGAGACTTTCTGGTGGACCATTCGGCACCTCTCCTAGAGATACTGAGTTCGAACCAGAATCATAGCGATAAGAAAAGAAGAGAAAACACGTTTCTTACTACCCTCAATATTTGAGCTATTTAACATCTTATCCATGCCCATCAAATGTCCCATCAATATGGGTAGTTTCGAAATTTAAGGGAAAAATGCACCTTGGGTAAAATGACAAATTTTACAAATAATTAAAGCCAGAGAGGAAGCCAACCAAATGTAAAATCCTTAAAATAATAAAAGAATAGTTTAAGCACAAGTTGTATGAACACTGGAGAACAGAGGGGAAGCCAACCAAATGTAAAATCCTTAGAATAATACCTTGGGTAAAATGATAAATTTTACAAACAATTAAAGTGAAGCCAACCAAATGTAAAATCCTTAAAATAATAAAAAGAATAGTTTAAGCACAAGTTGTATGAACACTGGAGAAAAGAGGGGAAGCCAACCAAATGTAAAATCCTTAAAATAATACCTTGGGTAAAATGATAAATTTTACAAACAATTAAAGTAAAGCCAACCAAATGTAAAATCCTTAAAATAATAAAAAGAATAGTTTAAGCACAAGTTGTATGAAACTGAAGCAAAGAGTTATGTTCGAGGCTCAGTTCTTACCAAGGTAGGGGCGATCTTTGACGATTTGCATCAATATGCTCGAGGCTCAATTCCTACCATTGTAAGGCCCCTCTCCCTAATTACTTAAAAATAAATCAATAAATAAAATAAATAAATAAATAATAAAATAATAAATAATAATAATAATAATGAGTCAGACCTGCATAGAATAATCCTTAGAATAATACCTTGGGTAAAATGATAAATTTTACAAACAATTAAAGTGAAGCCAACCAAATGTAAAATCCTTAAAATAATAAAAAGAATAGTTTAAGCACAAGTTGTATGAACACTGGAGAAAAGAGGGGAAGCCAACCAAATGTAAAATCCTTAAAATAATACCTTGGGTAAAATGATAAATTTTACAAACAATTAAAGTAAAGCCAACCAAATGTAAAGTCCTTAAAATAATAAAAAGAATAGTTTAAGCACAAGTTGTATGAAACTGAAGCAAAGAGTTATGTTCGAGGCTCAGTTCCTACCAAGGTAGGGGCGATCTTTGACGATTTGCATCAATATGCTCGAGGCTCAATTCCTACAAAGTAAGGCCCCTCTCCCTAATTACTTAAAAATAAATAAATAAATAAATAATAATAATAATAATGAGTCAGACCTGCATAGGTTGTGACAACAAGCTCGTACTCCTGCCCAACCTCAACATCCACAAGATCCACAAGCCCCTTCTTCTCCTTCTCATTCAGATCCTTTGGCACTGAAATCTCACATACCCCATTACTCTTGTTCACAGGCAAAAACTCGAAGTAAGCCATGGTGGGCAAAAGGGTATAAGCCACCTCACTTGGCTTACAAAGTGGCTTCAAATTCAGCCCAAAGTAACACTCAGAAGAGCCATACATGGTGCAAACAAGAGGCAACCCATTACTGTAAAAATCAAGTGTGGCTATATACTGAGACATAGTCCCAGTTACTATGACATCAATATACTTTGTGTTAGGCCAAAGCCTAGTGATAATGCTCTTCCAAGACCCCTTACTACACTCCATCTCAATAAAATCAGCAAGCTTGGGTTTAGGTTTAAGTATCTTCATCACTGCCTCTCTCACACCAGGGTCGGTGATGTGTGGATTGACGGAGCCGGACCTTAGGTCTTCACAGAGAAGGCGCCAGTGTTGTTCAAGGAAATGAATGGCTCTTATGAAACCAGAGGCAAACACGGCGCCGACCCTTAAAACCTCTTGGTTCTGAGCAAGGCCACATAGGAGTTGAGAATACATACTTTGATAGGAATCAGGACACAAGATGGCTTCATTTGGGCTTGTGTACACGTTGAATGGATCATATGGTCTCTCAGTGAAGTGCTTGCTTTTGTAGTAGCTTGTGAGAACAGGGCGAGCCAAGAGCCCACTGGGTGTCTTGGCCTCTGATTTAACGAAGAGGAAGTACATTCCTTTGCCTTTGTCAAGGCCTGGTACATGCTGGTTCATAATAGGGATAAGGAGGCTGTAGAAGAGAGCCCTTCTATCCATGTCTTCCTCGATGGTCGGCATGAGCTTGCGCTCTCCGCCTGAAGTTCCCGAGCTGTGACAGAGACAGAAAGAAAATCACACAATGAAACTGTAGTGTTGAACAAAGCGTTTTTTGCGAATAATTATGGGTTTCTTCTCCTTCTTCTTCTTCTCCTATTCGAAACAGAGAGAAATTGTGGGTTTTTTGTTTCCTCTTCTTATAAAATAATGGGTTTTTCCCATTTCATTTTTCTCTTATTCTTCGTCTTTTGAACCAGAAAAATAATGGGTTCAAATGTTCTTCAATGGTAAAATATTGGGTCATCCTCTATTTAAATTGTTCCGAATTGAGGCATAACAATAAGAAAGTATAATACCTGGTGAGAAATTCAGATACAGCATGGGAGCAAAGGATGGGAGATTTATCTCCATTGGCAATTCGATGAATGTCAGGCTGTATATCTTCGTATGTTATAACAGGGAGCATGCGCTTGAAGCTCTCTCTATCGGTGCGGCCTTCAAGGCCACGGCGCCTCAAATACTCAGTGTTGGCGTTACGCTTCAGTATATCAGCAAGAACGCGGTCCTGCACCTCTTCGGCCTTACTCGTCACATCCTCTATCAACTTTAATCCCTTCTCATCGTTGCTATTCTTCTTAGCTTCTGGCATGTCTACCTCCACTTCGTAGGCAAGTTAAAATGGGGAAGGAAGAAGAGGAAATTAATGAGAGATGCTAGGTGCGATTGACTGATGGTGGCTACAAACAAGAGAGAGAGACCAGACGATTGATTGATGGTGGGCAGTAACGAGCGGAGGAGGGGTATATATAGAGGGAACAGGATGGCTGTGCTCCACTTGAAAGGATAAACAAGCAGCTCCATAATCCTTTATAATCTCTTTTTAATGAAGGAAAATGGCTTGATAGGGCTGCAGCCCTATCAAAGTACGTAAATCCTCACCTCGTAACTTATCAAAAATTCCAATTTCAAGCATTGGAAAATCTTTATATTGATCGGTCATCCAGGCTTGAATATTATGGTTGTAAAAAACGATTAGGATTTCAAGCTTTAAAACTAGTGTATATTGTTACAAATTATCTCGACCAATAATTTAAAAAACAGATCGATGATTAGGATAGGCCATAGTAAAAATCGGTTCGGATTGGTAAATCAGCGGTCTTGATCACCGTTTTCCTGATAGTGATCCGACGAAAAAATACGTGTAAAAACAACGAACCTACCAAGAACCGGCCTGGGTAGATGAATTTACGTTTTTACTATAGAAAATGGTATTTTACTGTAGCAAATCGCTGGTTCTCTTCTAGACCAGGGTGATTTCTCATATATTCACAAAATCGGGTCAGGGTGATTTTATTCTCGAGTCTGGTTCTCTTCTAGACCAGGGTGATTTCTCATATATTCACAAAATCGGGTCAGGGTGATTTTATTCTCGAGTCAGTCCAGACAATTCCACGTCGACCCAATATTTTTTAAATCATTGGTCTAGATTGTTCATTTCCCCTTAAAAATACGTGTTCACGTATCCACATGATTTGTATCATTTTTTTATTTCAAATATTACTATTGGTGTTGGAAATTAATTTTAGAACCATCGTGAAATTTTTTTTTTTTGAAAGTGACGTTTGAAAGAGGATTTGAAGTGACGTTTTATTTTATTTTTATAAAGCCTAACCCTTGTAGGGACCCATCCTTTTACAACATTGAGACTATAAATAAATAAGCAATTGGGCGCCCTTTTTGACCCTTGGATGGAAGCTTTCCAAGGGTGAGCTTGTCGTACAACGAAACCGGCAAAACCGTCTAAAGTCGAACTTCCTTTAGCCAGAGAGTTTGAGACCGGCAAGGAATGGAAGTAACCGGTTGCTCACTGGCAGCTGCCTGTAGTAACCCCGACGTCATGACCCGTACTTGCTTTCTATAAGAAATGACAGAGGCTTTGACCACCGACTAACGCCAGTCACCCGGCTGACGTGGCTATTGGGAACCGGTCACCGGTTCGGGACTCATATGCGTGAGTGCGAAATGCAGGCCGTTGGGGTATTGATATGTGGCAATGAGGGGTTGGTTAGCCGTGTGGTCTCGCAGTCTCAACCTCTCCTAGAATGCCAATTGTCACAACCCTATTGACGCACATGGGGAAGTGCTTTTACATGTGCTACATTTCCCCAAACGCATTTCAGACTGCCCGAGTTAGAGGAATTATTGCTTAGAAGAATAAGAAATGGAAAAACCACAAATGTTTTTGAGGCTTAATAATGAGTCTAAAAAAAATAGGTGAAAAAGACCAAGGTATTAAGCCTAACCATCTTTTCTAATTCCAAAAGAGGGAAAAGAGAAATGTGGGTTCAAGGGTATAAACCTATTAAGGCAAATCATATCCAACTTTTATGTATTTGTTTTGAATGTGTCCATTCTTTTGATGTTGAAGAGGCAAAGATGAGAAAGCTGGAAAAAGTTGTCTCTTGGGAGATGGAAATAATGGGTCTAGAATATCCTTTAGTAGGTTATCATGTTTCTCTAAAACAAAGGAAAATTTTTGGAAAGAACGACAAGTACATTCAATTATTCAAACCCCAAAAGGGCAGCACAGAAAGAAAAAAAAAAAAAGTCAACAAATGCAATTTCCAAAATGGGGGTTGACAAACAGGTTAATTCAGACCAGTTGTAGGGCTAAAACCATTATGAGGATCACATCATTAAAAAATGGATTGGTGTCTCTAAATCTAAACTTTTCTTTCCCATTCAAAACCAAGACTCAAATTTAGAAACCACGTCCACGTCCTTGGCTGGAGTTGGTCTAATATAACGAAGGAAACCAAGAGAGCCCCAGTTAAGGACGTGAAATAAAAATTATATTGGACTAAATAAGCGAGTATCGAAATAAAACTGAATTCCCCAACCAACACAACTTTCCAATCCTCCTCTCTTAAAACAAAGATCAAAAGGAAAGGAAAAGCGAAAAACATCCTCCTCTCTTCAAACAAAGATCAAAAGGAAAGGAAAAGCGAAAAATATCCTCCTCTCTTCAAACAAAGATCAAAAGGAAAGGAAAAGCAAAAAATGTAGGGAGGTTCCCCCTGCCTAATAGAAAGTAGCTCACAAAACAAAGGATAGAAGGGTCATGATTTTATGTAAGAATGCACGAAGGGAAGAAATGGATGGTCAGGATTGGGGAATGGTTGGGCCAACCCTGAGTTGTTGGGGATGGAGCCCCTAGGGCAAGGACAATTGAATAAAATAGCCGTTACCAATTTAAAAAAGTGGTTCGCGGGAAACCATGAGGTTGGGGATGGCATCAAAGCGGGGAGCATGGAGCGTGAGGGGCAAGTTGTGACCTAGTGCTTGGTGCTCTCTGTGTGGGGTTGAGAATTCCTCCGGCCCTCTTTGACCCCCATTGCCTCTTCCGCCTCTCTGTTCCCCATAATCCCAACTATGAACTGTTTTAAACCTATTTAAAAACATGGGTCTTGGATCTTCAACCAATTTAATAGTCCTGTTCATGGACCTTCAATCGATTTAATAATTTGATCCATGGGTCTTGTACAAATTTATTAATTTGTGTCATGGGTCTTAGTTCTTAGACAAGTTTTATAATATCGGTCAAAGGTCACGCCGTTTTTCCATGTCTAGTGTCTGTCGGGGGTTCGGGGGTCACGAGCGCCACCAGCCACCCCCCTGCACCACCCTAGGGCTGGACCCCCTCCTCATCTTGCTACTGAGAATAGGGTTTCACTTGAGACTAAGCACTAGGGGTTTTGACATATACAGGCTTTCTTTCTCCAGTGTTGCAGTTATCAAGGGAGTATTTATGTAAATATGTATTTGCCTGATTTTGAGGGAGCACTATCAAGGTATTTATCCTTTGTTTTTTAATGTTAATTGTGCGGGTATTTACCGAGGGAGAAGATATTCTATGCAACATTTGAAGGTTGATATCCAGGAAACTGGATCTTACTGCTCTCATTCAATATGGTAACCATTTTTGGCAATTTATTGTCACAATTTTGAAAGTAGGATTTTCTACCCTACTTTTGAATACAATTAAAATATACGTTATAAACATCAAGCAACGGAACTTTTCAATAATTGCACAGAGGACCAAATATAAAATTGTGTGGTGCTTATTGTTTTAGGGAAAAAGTTTATGTATGATGTCTACCTTATGCTAGTGAAGTAAGATGAGCCTCATAAATCAGTTAGAAAATTTTGTTTTGTTGTTAGAAAAACATCTATTTAATTAGTCAAGACTTATGAATTTGAAAGAAAAAAAGAAAAAAAGGTTTTCAAGTTATGAAAATAGTGCATTTTGTAGCACATTATATAGACCGTTTGTTTTCAAGATTTTCAAGTGTTTATAGATTTGTTCAATCTGTTATATTTTCGAGCTTCAAATTTCATTATCAAGAATAAAATTATATTTTGAAGCTATTACAATAGGTTTTTGGCATAAAAATTGCATCTTCCAAAACACAATTTAAAGGTGCATCTTACTGTAATCATTTAATGTTGACACCTTATGCAAACCACACCGTTGTTTTAAAGAGGACCCCTACTCTTATTACTCATTACTAAGCCCATTGGTATGTTTCTAGGTAATATTCCCCTAGGTGTGTGTTTATATTCCTTGACGTTTGAGGGTCTCTAAATAAAATGGAAAGAAGTTGATTAGACTCACATATCGGCAGGAGGTTTCATAATGGGGCTGATTTATTAATGGGTTGAACTTTAAAGTTGTTAAAAGCAAAGGATTGTATGCGGTGCTACTAGTATAAATATTTCACACTCACATGGGGATTTCCTGGTCTTTATGTCCATCATTTCACTTTACAATTAGGGGAATAATGGCGGCTTTTTAGGGGCAATAATACCTCTCTTTCGAGCCTAGGGAGTTCGTGCCTTTTTCTTCTTTTTCCCTTCTCTTACCTCCTTAAGGATAGTGGCTTTTACTCTTTTCTATTCCGAATTTGACTTGCGAAATCTAAAGAGAATGTACGGAATATGTGATAGGAAGAATTGCCCTTGTTTCCCACACAATCTTCAATCTTCACTAATCACAATTTTGAAGATGTGATCTCCCTTACGTCGTATCTTGTGATGACTTTGGTGTAAACTGATCTTGCATAGTTAACTTTTGATGACTTTGGTGTAAACCGACCCGCTCAGCCCGCCTTTAAAAAACTAGAGCTTGGGCCATAAAATGTGGCGAGGGCCGGGCCAAGACAAATCTGGCCCAATTTGGACCGGCATCGTCCTATTTTTTAATCTTTTTTTGCTTTGTTTTTCTTTAATTTGCTCCGGGTGCTTCGGCTTGCCTAGCAGGGCTGGGCCTAAGCCAGCCCTCAATGGAATAGGCTGGGCTATGGCCAGAGCTGGCACAGCCCAATCCCAAGTCAGGCCCTTTGCCAGCCCCACTAATACACACACAAGAAGGTGAATGCATACACACACAAGAAGGTGAATGCGTTGGCACAAAGAAGGTGTCTTGGAACCGCACGTTTGCGCATGCTCTCTCAAGTTCCTTCCAGGCCACTATAACATGGATTTGCTCCCACTATAAAATATATCCTACGAAAATCACAAATCATGAAATTTGGTGCTTCAAATTTGGACCATTTTTTTTTTTTGTCAAATAAAATCAATCATGGAACCAAACATCCCCTTCTAATGGATTGCAGGAGTACTATTTGTTAAAAAAGAGTAAAAGTGCTATTCCTTCATATTTTTGTTTTCAAGGATAAAAAGGTTGAATCTCATCAAGTTCCTGTTCCAAAATTGGGTGGGGTGCTTTTTGACTG